CGTTTATGTGTATACATATTTAAGTATATATTAATACATAAATAAATGTATATATATATATATATATATATATATATATATATATATATATATATATATATATATATATATATATATATATATATATATATATATATATATATATATAGACATAAACATGTACAGGCAGACAGATAGCGAGAGAATGTAGCGATAGATTGAGTGATAGACACTCACGGTTCGGGAAGGTTGGAATATTATGTGCTCCTATAAAACGTTCTCATAGGAGACAGCCCCCCCCTCCCCAGTAGGCTACTTTATAGTAGTGCTAACTGCAGGAGACACCCCCCCCCCCCCCCACACACACACACACTTTATTATGGTGCTAATTATTGCGTCAGTGTGCGATCAACTGAAACAACCAGCATTGTGCTGACGTGACACTTTTAACACTGCTCACCACACAGCAGAAAACAAGTCATTTGTCACGGGTCACAAGTCACGTGACACGTGACACTTGTCAGGTCACGATCAGCTAGAAGAACGGCGATCAGATATCGATAGCCTTGTGATCAGTGGTGAGATCGATTTTTTTTTAAACCAGGTGTAAGATATGTCATTGATTTGGCTTGTCCGTGTGATATGGAGGGGCAAAGGTCACAACGAAATAAAACGCCGGGGTGTTTTTGTTGAATGAGGAGGTCCGGGTGTTGAAGAGCGACGGCTTGAAATTAAAGAATACAAATATAGCCATTAGATATGTCGAGGGGAAAATAATCATTTATTGTGATTGAGATTAGAATGAGCTATCGAACATGGTTATATCGATATTGGGTTGAAATGAAAGAATACAAACCAATCATTAAAGAGTTTGAAAGAAAAAAATATTGATTAGAAAGAGTTATCGAACATGGGTATATCACGATTCATGTTTTATATTTCATTGTTTTATTTTTCGAGTAGGTCGTTTAAAAACATGACCCATGTCTGATGTTTTAGCATGAAGCTCAAACTTAATGTCTTGACTGAAAATCAGATTTTACGCACCATCCAATACTTAATAATTGTAAAATCTTCTTCAGAAAAACAACATTTTGTGGTTTAGAACTATTTAAATGTATCAGGAAGTGGTCATTGGGTGTGGGGATGGAAGTGGGGGGGGGGGGGCGTGAATGTTTCATACACAGGGGTGAACTGGCTGTGTCTAAAAGGCCCCGGAAATTTAACAAAGGGCTCCAATCCTATATTGCTATTTTAAATGTGCATTGGGTAAAATAGTCATGTTTAGATTTTGTTTGACAATGTGTGCCACAATGAAGTTCTATGTAAAAATGCACGATCTACTGGGCCTATGAATTGAATATTGAAATACGATTTGAATTTTCGGCCGAGAAAAAAAAAAAAGACGGTAACTCTCAGATTTAAATTGTGAATTGAAACTGTCACTCCGAAATCAATTGGTTGATAGCGTTAACACAACCCTACCTGTGCTATAAAGTATCTATCAAACCATAGAAAAATGAATTAGTTACATTTGAATTCGAGTACAAAAATCGATTTAAAAACGAAGATATTCTAGAGAATGACGTTATTTAGACATACAGAAGGTGGCCTTACATGGCCCAGTGGATTTTGTTGCAGGGTTCAAAAACTTTTCTATTGTAATTTTTATAGGCAATAAAAAGCATGTTCTAAGTTTTTTTTTTCTAAATAAATCGATCACCAACCTAGAATCCTGCGCCAATATATCCTGACTCAATATATCATAAACATTTGGTTAGCAGTTGCCTTTTTTTAAATGCTCAAGTCAAAACTATTTGTGTACTACCAGTGTTTTATATCTTACGAGCCGACCCGCGGCGTATCACACGCCGCGATTTAGTTTATTTTCTACTTTTAAGTAATTAATAATGTGTGAATTCGACAGTACCAATGCTGTCATTGAAAATATTTGCTTTCAAACACTAAAACCCTCCTCCCCCCCCCCCCCCCCCGTGAAAGCAGCCTCCTCTTAGTTACCCCCCCCCCCTAAGTTAAAATTAGTTTCAAACTAAACCCGGCTCTACGATTTTAAACATTTAGCGTGAACCACAGCTCACCAGACCATGGGTGGGTGGGGGTGGTTGCGATATGCCTAGAGAGGAAGAGAGGGGATTGCTAGGCGCGCTTACAGCTTGGTGTTTTCTAACGTCTCCAAGAAGAAAATTATATATATATACGAGCCGACCCGCGGCATATCATACGCCGCTATTTAGTTGTGTTTTTTTTTCTACTTTTCAGTAATTCATAATTTGTGAATTCGACAGTACCAATGCTGCCACTGAAAATATGTGCTTTAAAACACTACCCCCCCCCCCCCCCCCCGTGAAAGCAGCATCCTCTTAGTTTAAATTATCTGCCCCTAATAGCCGTCGCAAAACCCGGCTCAATGGTTGTAAAATGTAAACATTTAGAGTGAACTACAACTCACCAGGCCATGTAGGGGTGGTGGTGGGGGGTGGGGGGGTGGGGGGGGGGGTAGCGATAGAGAGGAAGAGAGGGGACTGCAAAGGCGCGCTTGCAGCTTGTTTTCTAACGGCTCCCAGAAGAGAATTATATATATAGATATATATAAATATATATATATATATATATATATATATATATATATATATATATATATATATATATATATATATATATATATATATATATATATATATATGTGTGTGTGTGTGTGTGTGTGTGTGTGTGTAAGGGTGGGTAGTTGGAAACGTTATAAAGTATGAAAGTAAGTTCAGATGATTTCAGGTGTAGGGCATGAAGAGAGAATGGGTGGACAGCTTTGTATAACATCCCTTAGATGGGGTGATTTCAGTACTTTATCTTCAGATGGGGTGATTTCAGTACTGTATCTTCAGCTGGGGTGATTTCAGTACTGTATCTTCAGCTGGGGTGATTTCAGTCCTTTATCTTCAGCTGGGGTGATTTCAGTACTTTATCTTCAGATGGGGTGATTTCAGTCCTTTATCTTCAGCTGTGGTGATTTCAGTACTGTATCTTCAGCTGGGGTGATTTCAGTCCTTTATCTTCAGTTGGGGTGATTTCAGTCCTTTATCTTCAGTTGGGGTGATTTCAGTCCTTTATCTTCAGTTGGGGTGATTTCAGTAATTTATCTTCAGTTGGGGTGATTTCAGTAATTTATCTTCAGTTGGGGTGATTTCAGTACTGTATCTTCAGTTGGGGTGATTTCAGTACTGTATCTTCAGCTGGGGTGGTGTCAGTATATTACTCAGTTGGAGTGATGCCAGTACATTTCAGAAAAACTAACGTTTAACATATCCTTTTTCTGACTGTTCCTACTAATTAATTGTATGATTGATATATTCTTGCACTTTTCCATCGCATTTTGAGAATTTGGTTTTCTTCTTTTAAAATTTCCTGTTTTAAGTTATTACATTTGAGCAGGCCTATATAGACTACTGAATTTTTGCATCAGAGTTAGGGACTTTCATGTTATACATAGGCCGAGGCGCCGTCGGACGCGCCTGATTCGATGGTGTCACCCCCCCCCCCCCCCCCAGAGGCGTAGCGACCCTTCCCGGGGACAAACTTTCAAATTTTCGATTTGCACCCCCCCCCCCTCAAACTTTCGATTTGCACGCCACCTCAAGTTTTTCTCTATACATTTTGCTATTTTTTGCCTTGGTGTCACCCCCCTAAATGGTGTCACCCGGTGCGGTCCGCACCCCCGCCCCCCCCCCCCCCCTCTCGCTACGCCTCTGTATATATAAATATAAAGTTGATTTTGCCGTGAGTAACAAAAACTGATCAGTATGCTCAATGTTAACCCGGCTTAATTAATAATTTAGAAAGAAACCGTTTTTTTTTTAATATGCATGGGGGTGGGGGCATGTTAGGCAGAACTGAGACGCCATTGGGAGTGTGATGTCTAACTTTATTTTTTTTAAGTTATGTGATAATGGTGAGGGGGGGGGGGGGATAATAAAAATCGACAAAACACCATGACGTCACTCTTGAACAACATACATACATTTCATATATGTAAAATATGTAAAAGGAGTAGGTTCCTTATTGGTACAATGATCGATTGAAATAGGGCCTAAGTTTTTTTTCATATCATAGGCCTAGATGTATATACTTTTAGCTCTTTAGTATTAAGATTTTTTTTCTAAATATTCGCAAAATATAAATTAAAGAAAATACCATTATCAATAGGCTCTTCTCTAATCATATAAAAATAAACTTCAAGAAAATTACATGACTAAATTAATATAAAAGATAATGTGGGCCTAAAATAGTAGGCAACAATAAAAAAAGAATTTGAAATGTAAAATACATTTCTACCGAGAAAATAATTTAATACATTCTAACTGAAAATTTTAATGCAAAATAAATCAATTTCTGTGTTCTGACCTTTAAACTTTAAGAAATCCCCACACTCTTGAAACTACCTGCCCCGTTTTTCGCGTTCAACTGAATTGAGATTTTATTGATATTGCTGATAAAGGAAGTCTTTATTATCAGACATAGGAACAGAACGTATAGATCTAGTACCGTACACGTAGTTCAAATTTAAAAACCCACATAGTCTTATAGGCTTCGGTAATCTAGGACAGTTTTCCCCCTGCTAAACAAATAGTTAAACATAGATATCATTATATGCAATGGGCCTATATTCTACTAGAAATAAAGATAAACCTTCTGTTATTTAATAATATTAGGCCTATTTTTTGGCCGAATATTAATCAATAATGATATAGAACTATGGGCCAATGATCAATAATCAATAAATTATAAATCTTTAAAAAAACAAGAAGAGAATATTCGGAGACATCCTAGCATATTCTTATCCGTTACAACTTTTGTTGTTATTACATAGATCTACTTAGAAAACAATTTATTTTTTGAATATTTTAGGGCTCTTTTTGGCATTTTCCCGAAATGCATAAATAAATTACACATATTTCGTTTTGCATTCTTAAATATTCCAAATTTTATACTAACTCATTGCACCGGAACCAATCGATGGCTAACACTAGTCTTGTTTACCAATATTCAAGAATCTAACTTTTAAGCATGGATTCTGGTCCTGTCGATGCTTTACGAGTTAGCCAGGTTAGAATGCGCCTTAAATGGGAGTTCATTTTTTTCTACGTTTATACTAAACTCTTAAGACTCAAATAAAGTAAACGCGTTAGTTATGTTTTTTTTTTTTTTTTAAATATACGGATTATACGATCTCGCAAGCAGTAGATCTAGCAGCCTGCAGCAGCAAGTGGCCTTGGGTGTCTAACAAAAACAAGTTAACAACACACTGTACTCAAGTATTGTACTGTGACTGTTCACTGAGACAATAGTTGATAGATTACAATAACCATTTTTTAAACTAGATCTAGGTCTATATCTATTAATATTATTATCATCTATTATCGGGAGGATATTTAGTAATTTACACTGGTGTCCATAATATAATAATATTTATTAATATTGGAGTCTTCTTTAAAAAAGGGGTGTTAGGTTTCTGGTAGTTAACTAAATAATACACACATGACTGGCTATAATGAATGTCAATCAATGCTAACCCTGTCCCTAACCCCAACCCTGGTCCTACCATATGCCTAACCCTAATTTCTAACCATAAAATTAATCGAGATTACAATACTACTAACAACCCAACGCGCCTATTTTATGGAAGTGGAAGAGTCTATTATGGGACACCGGTATCTATAATCATCTCTATTATCTAGATTCTAGATAGTAGCCTACACTTCTTACTGATTTATTAAAGAGAACATAGGTTACACACCAAACTATAAATAAAATACAGTTGTTGTTGTTGGTTAATTGTGATACGCAAAATGCCTGAAATAGATGAAGCTGTAAACGTCAAGAAAAAAATGCGAGACAAAGCTGCGGAATCATGGGTAAATAGCGAGATGATGTGTGCAACATTTTTTTTGTTTCTTGCTTTTGGTGGTTTGTAACTTTTTCACCAGATGTGTGAGAAGAAAAGTTATAAGCTAAACTAAACAAGTTGATCTTGAGTAATCTAGATTTATCGCGAGTGTTTGATGGGTTTTTTTTATCCACTTGAGATTTTATTTAAATTAAAGAAATCATAATATCGTTGCTCCTTAAATCGCTCTCTCACATTTTCTTGTCAGTGGGAGAAAAATTCCGTCTTGGTCGAAAGGTCACTATGAGTTCATAAAAAGAATATTATTTTAGACTTTTTCTTAAAAATCTATGTTTAAAATTCTAGACATTGTCACCAGCTAACCTTTTTTTTTTGTCAGCGCAAGAAAAATCCCGCCAGTTTAGGGGTCTCAGTCATTGCATATAACTTTAACAAAGGTCATAGCCTGAGAAATATCAAAAGACAAACGTGCTTGTAGTCATTGTGAGCATATAATCTTGTCAACTGGAGAAATATTCAGCCACAATGTTAATATAAAGCTAATAATACCTTCTGATCTTTAATAACTTGTATTGTTGTACTTGTAGAAAGCATAGCAGTATAAAAAAGCAATTTTAAAAGTGTGATTTATTTTTTATAGGCCTAAAATAATTTTAACTATAAACATTTTGAAAAATCATCAAAATTGATATTTATAAGATGAAACAATAAATTGTAGGTGGCGGTCACAATCAAAATTTTCTTTGCAACACTACTCTAACTTGGGGGTAAGATGCAAGCCAAATTGTCCTGCGACCGCTGGTTTTCGACCCTGTACACTGAGATTTTTCTCCCGCTGACAAGAAAACATGAGCGGACCAGCATTGGAGAAAGGATGTTAAGATTCTTTAAATTTAAAAAAAAAAATCTAAACTAGATCAAGAAATATTTTTTTGAAAAGAACAACATACAACACTCGCGTTATATATCTACTTGTTTACTTTATAAATTTTTTTCTTGCATATCTGGTGAAAAAACACATCACCAAAAGCATGAAACCAAAAAATAGCTAATTCCGTCTTGCTATTTACCTGTAATTTCGCAAGTATGTATCCCATTTCATTCTCGCAATTTACTTAATTTTGAGGAGTATATAGATTCTGGGACCTCGACTGGATTTATCTTACATTTGCTTTGTAAATAGCCTACTCACAATCATGTTGGAAAAATACACATGATTTCTCTATTTAACTTGATAATTTTCACCATAAAGAAAAAATTTGTGACCCGACTTTCAAAATTGTCAAGTGATGTTAAGGGATCCAAACCCTGGAGTTTGGGTTACAAATCATTGGCTGTAGGGCCTGCCAGCTATGCTTCCCATGTCATTATCATTAGCACTTAGTTTAGTATTTTAGCTTTAGTGATATTTTTAAAATAGTAATAATATACATGTCTCACACAACTAACATTATATTAAATTCTAGTTTGCTTTGATCGTTGTTTGGATTGTCAAGATAATGGTTTTATTTTATTTTTTCTCACATGACTTATGTCCTGAACAGCTGGATGCATCAGAACTAGACCAAGAGCTGGTACAACTAACAAAGACACAGCTTTCACAGCTCTTTAAATATCACAAGGTGCGTTTCAAGTTGAACATGTATTTATTAAGTATCATAAGGATTTTGTATCTGCTTATAGTTAACTGAAACATTTATTGTGTATCACTATTTATAAAGTAAAAGAATGTAATGTAATTTTTTTTCAAACTTTAAATTGGGATGCTTTATTTTGAAAGTGGTTATGTAGTTTTTACAAGCAACACTGGTATAAGTATAACAAATGTATTTTTCTCTACAGGTCAACTTTTTAGCACGGTTTGAGCCAGAAATACAAGCAGCCATCAAATTTCTCTTGTGGAAAGTAAGCAAATTTAGCCTACACCTTAAGCACTTTAACATCGGGTTATTACCAATTTACCTATATAATTTTTTTTTTAAAACTCCTTCAAAACAATTTTTAAATGTTTGTTGATACTTATTTTAACATAAAATAGGGAAATAAAATGAATACGCAGGTAATTGGAAAAAAATGTTCAAAACCTCATGAGTCTCCCTTTAATAAGTTGTTTTTCTCTTCCCACCTCTACTCTCCACCAGAAAAGTTGTAAACATGAACTCAGTGTTATGAATCTGTCAGTTTTGTTGTGTTTCTATTATGAATGCAGTGAGTGCGTTTGTATGTTGAAGTAACTTGTTTTGTGATGGATGTAAAGCTTTCTGGCTGCACTAATGCAGTAACAGCAATTATCTAAGATATAATAAAGCATTATAAAGCTATGTGGTATTAATGTTCTACTGGCTGTCTAGCTGTATTTACTTACCTTTTTGGTGGTGTTACCCATGTTATGGCTGTAGCTTCCTGGATCAGTGGCTCTGCTATGGCTGTAGCTTCCTGCATCAGTGGCTCGGCTATGGCTGTAGCTTACTGGATCAGTGGCTCGGCTATGGCTGTAGCTTACTGGATCAGTGGCTCGGCTATGGCTGTAGCTGCTCACGTCAACTTTGTTGGCTGTGTCATCATGGTCATAGCTGTGGTAACTAGGACCAATTTCTTTGACTTTTTCATCTTGTTCATAGGTATAGCTGTCAATATTTCTGGTGTCCTCTTGGTCGTAGCTGTTGCTGAGGTCGACTTTTGTGGTGTGGCCATAGCTGTAACGGCCGTTTATTTTTTTGTTGGTGTCATCCTGGGGATAGCCGTGGTTGTCAACATCAATTTTTTTTATTTTCTCATCTTGTCTGTAGCTGTTGATATCATGTGTGGTGGGGTCGGCTTGGAGATAACTGTAGCTGCCGACATCAACCTCTGCCACTGATGGTCGGGGTGTGGGTGGAGGGGTTCTAACGGCAGCTGCATGGTGACGCTTGAATGAATACACCACAGACGAGAACTTGGGCATTTTAGATTTGAATTGACTCAAGCTTGTCACCCTGCTTGAGTCTGGCCGAGGGGTGCACAGGTCGCTGATAACTGAGCCAGTGTCGTCATGGTAACCAGACAAGAGCTCATCCGTCTCGCCAAATGATCGTCTTGTCAGATGTTCGTACTTGTCAAAACTGTTGGCTGAGTAGCCGGGGTGTTGGTAGCTGTACGGCCCCAACGTTTGATACGTGGGTTGTTTTTGGTACGTCTCCTCTTCATCCTCCCCACAATGCTCGCTGACGCTGCTGATGTTCTCATCGTCATCAGCGCTGCCGTACAGGTGGCGCTGGTCACTGTCCACCACACTGGACTCTGGTAACATGTCGTAAGAATCTCCATACACGTCCTCCACAATGTCCGTCACTGCCTGGATGTCATCCACGTTTTCCATCCGGAATCTTCGAGAAGCCGTGGATAAGTTTCTGTCATTGTGGCTCGAGTCGCCACCATTTTCAGGGACTTCTTCAATGTTCTCATAATATGGAGGCTCTATCCTCACTTTTTTTGTGGCTCTTGTTGCTCCTGTATGTAGCGGACTCTGAACCTCTTGGCTGTACAGTGGCTCGTACATGTCTTTTTCAGAATAAGTTTCTGCGGCAGACAACTGATGAAAGTCTTCCCCTGTGTAAGTAAGTGTCTGATTGGTCTCTTTCTCATCTTGACTCTTGTGGGAGGTAACTTCACTGGTTTCAGACTTGACGTCATCTGTATCTTTGTCAAGGTCTATCCCACCAGCTAACTTCTCTTTTCTTCCAGTGTCTTCCTCATCTTCTTCTACATTTCTGACATCAGTTCTTTCCTCTGGTGTTGCCTCTTTATTCTCTTTATCTTCCTCTAACCCCTCCTCTCTAAATCCCTCCTGAGGTTTATTCTCTGGCTGCTGTTGTCCACTTTCATCAAAGTGTTTTTCTACCTCGACTTTATTAGCTGTGTCCTGGCCCCCATAGCCTGCTGATGTTCGTGTATCTGGCGACTTCATGCGCCGTAGTGGCATACTAGTGGAGAGAGGAGGGGATGCTGCTACTATGATTGGCCTCTCAGCCTCCAGCAACTCTGGGCTGATCAGCCTGATGTGGCCATGTTTAGTTGCCGGGGCTACCCTGGAAGGTTCATCAGATGTGACTTTGATTCTGGCCGCAGCTTCCACCTTGAGGGAAATGCCTTCAGCCTTGAAGCTGTCTATGCTGTCGTCACTGATGTGTCCGTCGCTTGGCGTGCGTGTCCGTTGGTCGTTGTCGTCATCGCTCTCCGTGTGTTTGACGTCAGGATCTTTCTCTTGGCTGTCTGCATGTTTACCTGTCTGATCAGCTAGTAAAGATGGATCTAGGACTTTTTTCGGCGAGTCTGGTGGGCTTTTTTGTTGGGCCTCAATGACGTTCTCATCAAGAACTTGGGGATCTCCATGCTCTAGGATTCGTTGATCTGATGGAGTACTTGACCTGCTGCCTGTGTCATCCTTGACCTCCACCTGGCTGGAGATGGACACCTGCTTTTGTAGGTCACTGTCCACCTGGTTGTGTAGGTCACTGTCCACCTGGTTTTGTAGGTCACTGTCCACATCCTCCTCCACCACTGGAGGAGTGGGACTTCTCACATCCGGCCTGCTGGCTGCCCAGTGTAGTGCGGACACTGGAGCCTCGGCGTCTGCTGAGATGTCCTCTTCCACCACTGGAGCCTCAGTGTCTGCTGGGATGTCCTCTTCCACCACTGGAGCCTCGGTGTCTGCAGGGATGTCCTCTTCCACTTCAGAGGACGTTTGTGCCTTTTCCTCGGCATCGCCCCTGTAGTCTTCGTTATCGAGTGACGACATGTGCGTCTGCCTTTCTGTGTCGTCTGATCCTTGATCGCTGTCCAGAGAAGTCTGTCCCCAAGTCTGCCTTCTGACGTCTGCTGTTAACGTCTGTCTCACGTCATTCTCGATTGTTGTCCCCTCTTGTTGGGCCGTGTCGTCCAGTGGCTGAGGTGGGATCTGCTCCACAGTGTCGGCAGGCAGGGAACTGACCAGCTGTTGGTTCTCGTCTGATGTTTGGGCTGGGGGGTCAGTTGTATTGGCTGGGGGGTCAGTTGTATTGGTTGGGTGATCTGATGTTTGGCGTGTGGGGTCAGTTGTGTGGGGTTGGGGGTCAGTTGTATTGGCTTGGGGGTCAGTTGTATTGGCTGGGGGGTCATTTGTTTGGGGTGGGAGGTCAGTTGTGTGGGGTTGGGGGTCTTCTTTGATTTCCAGCGAGTCTGTTACATCAGTGGCGCTGCTGTCTTCCTCTAGTTGAACGTCAGCTTGGCTAGCGTCTGTTGTCAGATATGATAAGCGTAATCATTCATACGGCTTGGTTAGCAATACATGACATACAAAATTTAATGACCGTGTGAGTGTGTGTTATATGTGCAAAATTAATATATGTCTGTATAAAGGATGGGTCGATTTCCCCCAGTATGTCTACCGCCCCCCTAGTGTGTCTACCACTAACAACAGTAGGATAGATAGGTTACCACCAGTGACATTCATGATGTTTAGTGGTCGAAAAGGAGAAGTAGCTGATTAAAAACACATTTGGGGAATTCCCTTTAGACAGAACTGTCACAGTGGCTACCGTCACTACTAAGAAAAGACAGAACTATCCGTTAACTAAAGCCACCATCACATCTACGACAGAACTACCCATTGACTAAAGCTACCGTCCCATCTACGACAGAACTACCCATTGACTAAAGCTACCGTCCCATCTAGTTACCTGTACCCTGCGTCACCCGATGGTGGAAAGACACATCGTCTACGGCGCTGCCTTCTTCGTCCAGGTCATCACTGGCCGGACTAGCTCGACCTGGTCCAGTCGTAGGGTCAACACTCATGGCTTTCTTCTGCTATTGTCTGAAACAGGTCATTCAGATTTATCAAGGCTGCATCATTATACTTTCAAAGTATGGCTTGGATTCATTTATCTTTGATAAATGAGAGTTGTTTGTAGTATAACTTACTGCCACCATTGATCAGATGAAGTAGAGATCATATTTGTCTCTGACCACAGCAAATGAATGTGGGACGGCGTGCCCTAACGATAGAGCGCTCGGCTGCTAACCAGTAAGTCTCGAGTTTGAATCCGGGTTCAAGTCTGTAGACGTAGAACGTCCCTGAGTCTACCCAGCTCTAATGTGTACCTAGCTCAAGTTATGGAAATTAAACGCGGCTGATCACACTATACCTTCATATACCGAGATCACATGGAAACTTTACTTATTACTTTTACAACATATGAATGTTTCCTTTCACTGGATGTGAACTTTACTTATTACTTTTACAACATGAATGTTTACTTTCACTGGATGTGAACTTTACTTATTACTTTTACAACATGAATGTTTACTTTCACTGGATGTGAACTTTACTTATTACTTTTACAACATGAATGTTTACTTCACTGGATGTGAACTTTACTTATTACTTTTACAACATGAATGTTTACTTTCACTGGATGTGAAATTTACTTATTACTTTTACAACATGAATGTTTTCTATCATTGAACTCTAGCCATACTGTTGGCTTATACTAGCACCAAGTCTAGGCCAACTTAAACAGATTCTAGATGGCTGGAGGCACCGGACTGTCAGAACTGACTTGACTGTTAGCTTTAGTCGCCAGTTTCGTTTAGACTGATCTGCAGTGTTTCTTTCATACTTTTTTCTCCAGGGGGGGGGGCACTTGAAATTTTCGGGGGGGGGGGGGGGGGGGGCGGTAGACTTTCTTCGGGGAAGTATATATTTTCTATATAAATTATATAAATTTCATTTCGTTCGGGGGGGGGGGGGGGGCGAAGAGATGCCTGGAAGAAACTCTGCTCATCTGTCACATTAGGGTAGAGGGTGGTCTTTGTTGGAAAAACGTTTGCGTGTTAGAAAAAACAACCGGAAATCTCGTTACACCCAAAAGAAATAAAAAAACAAA